TATAACTATTTAATCAGTAGTGTTTTATTGACTTTTTATTGCCTTCTGGCGAATCCGTTATTTACAGACACACATCAATGGAGTCTAGTGCTGGAACAGCGTCTGAAAATGGAGTGAAGATGAGATATGAGAATATTAAAAAATCACCAAATGATAAGAGAGTCTACAAAGGATTAATCCTCAATAATGACATGAAAGTTCTGTTGACAAGTGATTCAACCACCGATAGAAGTGCAGTGGGTTTGTATGTTAATGTTGGATTCATGAGCGATCCGGCAGAATTACCAGGTCTTGCTCATTTGTGTGAGCGCATGCTGGTCCACGGTACCGAGAAGTATCCAAATGAAAATGAGTACACCTCTTATTTATCTCAGCATGGAGGAGCTTGGGATGCCGCTACAGAGTTGGATTATACGACTTATTTGTTCAATATTATTCCAGACAAATTAGAAGGGGCTCTCGATAGATTTTCACAATTTTTTCTCAAGCCATTGTTCACAGAGTCCATGATGGATCTCGAGATTAATGCCATTAACTCCGAGCACGAGAGAAATATCGCTAAGGATTGCCGGAGGGCTGAACAATTGGGCAGATCCTCAGCTGATCCTCAACATCCTTATTCCAAATTTGGAACTGGTAATCGGGAAACTCTTGATGTGAATCCGAAAAAAAATGGAATCAATGTTCGGAATGAATTACTCAAGTTTCATGGAACCTGGTATTCGGCTAATATCATGACCCTTTGTGTTCTCGGAAAAGGTAAATAGAACTGTTGTTTTTTGAATTTCTGCCCCATCTTCCTGCCAAAATTACGGGTTTTTTTTAGCTTTTTGAGGAATTTTCTGATGGGATTGACCCGAAAAAATATAGAGGAGCGCATGACAAATGGAACACCCGGACAAAAAGGGATACGGTGGCAAATTAGAACACCTGCGGGAAAGGGTTTTTTATTTCTTTCGAGTCATTTTTTGTGCCCAAAAATGTGCGAGACATTCCAAAATTGTCTCAGTGTTTTTTTACTTTTTTATCTTTGAAAATTGTCAAAAAATACGCCATCTAATTTAAATCGCGCATGTTTTGCTTCTCATCGTGAAATTCCTTATATGGGAATTTAACATTTTTTTATCACTCAAGTATAATTAAATTCTGGAAAAAGTTAAATGTTGAGTAATGGATTCTTATGGTCGATTTTCTCCCCTCGTTTCCCCTTGA